AGAAGTGGCACTACTGCCAGGAAGATAGGCTTTTGTCTCCTTGGCAGTTTACAGTCCAAGGTTGCTCCCTCAGCCTTAGCCTTGGCGGGGGTTACAGCTTCTGATACCAGGCAGGGTGGTTCCCAACATGTGCCCATGTCCTTTTGCCCTGACCCGTGCTGTCTTCGGTAGGTAGCCGCCTTGCTCTCCAGCACGACAAGACATTCTCTGCTCTGTTGTTCCTTGCCTGTCCCAGACCGGGAGCCAGCCTCTTCTCCAGGAAGCTCTGTTTTCTGTGAGCGGGCAATGGCTGTCCCCACCCCCACCCCCGCCCTCACTGCTGGTGGGAGGCCCCTGTTCCCAGGCCTCTTCCATGCACAGATGACATGTCTCAGGGGTTCTTGCAGCCAGTTCAGATCCCAAGACTTCAGGATTCTTACCTGACTTCCTCTCTCTTTCACACATTTTTCCCCTTCCGCACTGAGAATCCTGGCCCTGACAGACAGGGGAGTGATAAAAGAATAGATTATTAAATTTTTTATTTGTTTTATCCACATTACAGACAAGAGTCTCAGAATAACAGTACTAATGTTACCAGCACCCATTATAAGAACTGAAAACCGTTATAAAAAGTGGGGGTAAGCGTTCTTCCTCTTCCCCCCGCACCCCCATTGTTAGTGTTGGCTGTGTCGGAGCTGCACTATCAGAGCACAGGGTGGTCACGCACCCTCTCTCTCAACTTCCATTCTGTCTCAGTTCTCAGATCTGTAGGAACTTAACACTCCTCTCATTAGCACTCCAGTAAACATCTCTCTAGCTGTTTTGTTATCTGAGCTCATTCCCTGGTGAAGACAGAAAGGGACGTGGGAGCAGTGCTCCCTGAACACTGACCTGCTGACAGTCTCTGACACTCCTATGCTTTGTAGTGTGTGGGTTTTCTTTTTTTTAACCTGTCCTCTTTCCTTGTTTCACTTTCCTTTGTCTAGGACTCTAAGGGTTTGTATGCTGCTTCTGCTTTGTGTATCTGAAGTATTTGTCATTTCTCTTTAATCCTTTTCACCACTTTTTTTTTAGTTCAAAAACTTTCCTCCACTTACCTTCTCTTTCCCTTACAGCATTATTTATTGTGTTTATTCACTCTTACATTCTTTCTAGTTTAGTTTTTCTTCCTAAGGTGGCTTCCCCCCTCCACCTTATTTTTCTAATTCTTTCCTGAGTTCTGTCATGTCTTTTCCGAGTTTGCAGAATTATAATTTATTCATTCCTTCGTGTGGTGTGTCCTTTACTTAAGGTCTTTGGTTTATTTTGAAATAGTGGACTATGGACTTTATCTGTTTTGTGAGCAAGCTTTCATTGCATGTAGAGGTGTTATTTTACTCCTTTCCTCTTTTTTCTCATAAATACCTTTGCATGGGGTTTGACCAGAGAATTCTCATATTTATGGGAAATTAGGTTTCTCAAGCTTTAAGAAGGCAACATGGTTTCTTCAAATAGGGATAAAATATAACATCACTTTCTTTCTGACATTTCCTGTCTGTGTGTCCCTCCCCACTTAGGTCTAGACTTTCTCTTCCCTTTGTCTCTGCTGACCCTGACCCAATTAACTCGTATTCCACTCCCGCAGCTTTTTTTCCCCTTTGGTGTGAGGAGGCCCTGCCTGGGAAGGGAGCCTGCAGGGTCCGACTCAGGAACTCACAGGGCTCCGGCTCCTTCCCCACCTGCTGTGCACCTGCAGCCTCGCCCGCTGCTGGAGCAGGAACAGCCCACGCATGCGCACGTTTCCCCTGTGGTCCCCTGTGGTCCCCTGCTGTCCTGCTGTGCCGCCCAGGGGATGCTTTTGGAGCTATTTTGGGGTTCTCCTGTTCTCAGGTCTTTTAGTCACCTTGCTGCTTCCTTCCTTCGGCATCTGCTTGTGTAGGAACAGGTACCCTGCTGGTGTAGCGGCGGGCACCACCTGTATCTGGGGCTTGAGGAGACACCTTGTCGCCGTGTTTTCTCATAAATGCTTCAATATGCTTTATGTTACTACTTTATTTTATTTACTTTATTTTACTGCTTAGTTGCTCTGTCTGTTTCTATGTGGGGATTCTGGAGGATCCCAAAGCCATGCTTCCTCGACTGCTGTCGTCTTCCCAGTCATGACGTAACTGAAATCCAGCATCAATACAGGAGAACCATGAGGACCATATAGAGTAAAATTACAACAGCCAGTGAATATGCAAGTACACAGTGATTGGAGGAGGAAGAATAAATCTCCCTGAGAGGAAGACAGCAGATGTGGTCAATCTAGAGTAATTCCATGGTACTATGAAACGTTATAGGCATATCTGTGGAGTTACTTAAGTGTACAGTTTTTAAAAGGTGAAATTTATTAGATTCTACTCATTTATTTTTAGAGAGAGGGGAAGGGAGAGGGGAGGAGAGGGAGAGAAACATCCATGTGTGGTTGCCTCTTGCACGCCCCCAAGTGGAAACCCTGCCTGCAACCCAGGCATGTGCCCTGACTGGGAATGGAACCAGCGACCCTGTGGTTTACAGGCTGGTGTTCAATCCACTGAGCCACACCAGCCAGGGCCTGAATGGTGAGATTTAAAGAGTGGATTCCTGTCTTCCCTTCTTGTCCCACTCCAGACCCCCACCCCCACCCCCACCCCACACATAGTTCCTCCTCACCCCACTCACGCAGAAACACGGAGCTGATGGGCAGGGAGACGCTGGAACGGTCTGGCAGCCACATACCCACCCGAGGGCCCGTGTGCTCAGCAAGTCCACGGGTGAGCTGTCACGTGATGTGCGTTCTAAGGGGCAATTTCAAAAGCTTGGCCGCAGTTTCTCAAGTTAGCCACAGCTGATAGCAAATTCTAGTCCAGATCATAAAGAGTAGTAATCATTATTCATTGTTTATGTCACCCTCCCAAATTTCTGTTGTTTTACGTTGAAAATATGTATGGAGCCCCTGCTTTGTGCTCAGGGGTATGTGCTTGTGCAGGGGGTACGGGGGTTGGGGGGAGGCTTCTGGTCTCCGGGGTGTGAATACTTTCTCAGAGATGCTCAGTGTCCATCAGCCTTGGCACCCCCACAGAGCAGAGCCACCCCTGCATGTAAGTTTCTGTAATGCACAAATGTTTTTAGAGTCACACTGACTTAATCTTTGAAACCTGAGTCTTACAAAGTTCCCCCAAGAGACATGCAGACTTTTGAAGCTCTACTAGCCTGCAGGGCTAAGCAGGCGGAGAGCCCGGAGGTGTGGGCTCAGCACCGTGGCTGTGGCGTGGATCCTTTTGTCACCGGTGGGAGTCAGGTTCTTGCGGTGTCTAAAGGAAAAGAGTTCCCTGAGACCTGCACGGGGGCGATGTGGCTCTGTGGTACAGTTGGTTGACTGATGATGTACAGTTAAGGGGGGTCCCCCTCCTGACTTCCCAGTGTCCCATCTCCATCCATCTTCCCGTAGAAGAAGTCTAATATTGACTTCAGTAGGGCCAGGATGAAGGTCGCCACCCAAGGTTTCTGCTCCATGTCCAAGTCTAGTCCAATCCAGCATCCGGCTAGCTCAGCGTGTGTTTCCAGCTGTGGTCCATGACTGTGCGTCGATATTCAGGACCTCTCCCGGAGGCCATGGGCCACGTGGCCACGAGAAGAACAGGTGCATGCGCTGTGCGAGTGCAGGTCTCAGGCAGGAGAGAGAGCTTCCTTGTTTCTCTGCGATTATAATAACCAGGAGCTTGGGTCTGGGATGGACCTGGTGCTTTCTCCCAGTGACCAATCAGCTTCCCAAGTTTTCCCTGGCTTTGGGTAGGGTCGACCCGCTAGTTAGACTGCCAGGCCTCTGTGGTCCAGCACCTCCCCTGCAACCCCCAACAATCTAGCGCTGGAGGCCAGAAGGGAAGAGTGTTAATCCCCTTGGCAGAGCACTGCTGCAGTCCCCTGGGGTGGGAAGCCGTAGCTTCCTGGCTAGCAAGCAGGCTCCCACTTCCCAGCTTATTAAGCTCAATGTCTAGTCTGTTTCACTCCCCTTCTCAATATCTAGCTGAACACTGGTGGTAACACTTTCACTGGCGCACCTGTTTGTTGCTACTCCCCATGCAATATTAAGTGAATATCGATTTACGAAGGAGCCTGGTACTGGCATTAAAATCAAAACTGGTTTATTTCAGATTAAGGTACTGCAGGCAAAGGTTAGTGTATTTTAAAGGCATTGGCTGTGTAAATAAGCGTTATTATAAATCCCTTAAGAAATGAATAGGCTTTTACTGAAAACAAGCACTTGCCAATTTGTTTTCTGTAAATTAACAATTGTATACGTTAGGTTTGATTGAAGCGAAGAAACCCAGTGCGTGGACAGTTGCTAAACAGGCCCACACTCCCTCAGACACGCTCTGTGTGTAAACACCTGTTGTACTATTTATAAAACAGCATGTGCTATTTTTTTCATCTTTTTAAATAGCCTTTTACCACCAGATTATAAACCTTTTGAATGCTAAGACTGTGTCTTTTGTATCTCTGTGTCCCTATCAAATGGCTACCAAGGACTTAGTGATGGTGACGGTGATGTTGGTGAAATACAGGAGAACTCCCCCCCCACCATTTGTCCTACCTATTTCCGGATCAGGCATTAACATTATTGGGTGTATTCACTGAGTTAGGCGCTATGTGTGTTACCATCTGGGAAACCTAAAAAGACAAGAATAATCTGGACCCTTGAGAGAAAATCTCATTGGAAAAATAAAAATATAAACATGAAATAGGAATAAAAATTTGCCACATCGTTATTTAGATACATATAAAATTTATACATTAAATCACAGTCTTCATAAAAGTATTTTGACTTTATTTATAAATGTTTCTCCACCGAATACATAGCAATTTTTAGGCCTGTTTTTATTTTATTTAGACGTATAGTTTTTCACTTTTCTCTCCACATATTTGGCAATTTCTAGTAAGAAGAGAATGACTACAGCTCTTTTAATCATCTGACGTATTTTCAACAGCAGTATAATTTTCTGATCGTTTCTGTTGCCTAGGAAAAGAAGTCTTTGGAGAGGCAGCGTGAGGCAGCCCGGCAGGCCCTCCTGGGAAAGACGCCTCCTCATCACACGCTCCTGTTCCAAAGGTGGCGAGTCCTCACGTTTATTTACAGCCGGGCACCTTCAGGTTGATTTTCTGCTATCAGATACGGCAAAGCCATCTTTGCCCTACACCATCAACACAAACGGGGACCTTTATGCTAAAACGAACCCAGTCATTCAGAATCAAAAGGCCATTTAGATTTGTTTTGAATTACAGTTTTTATTATTGTCTGTCATTTCCAGCTATCCATTGACAATTTTTCACCGATATAAGTAAGTTTTGTCTATTTGTCTGCTGTGTATGGAAAAAGGGACTAATTTCCCCTCCAGACCGGGAGGATGCCTTTGGGTGGTCTGGGTCCAAGGACAGGCCGTGTGGTGCAGACAGAGCCCTGTCGGAGGGTCAGGAGGGTCGTGGCCGGATGATTGGCAGTGTCCCCCGCCGCAGCCGGGCAGCCGTGTCCTGTGTGACCCCTGACTGGCAGAGTGGCTGTGCCTATTAAAACGCTGGACAGAGAAACTAAGGGTTTTTAAATATGCGCTGCAAGCGGGGCCCTGCTGGAACAGAGAGATGCTTCTAATCTGCATGCATTTCCATGCGGTGGGGCCGCTGTGCATACAGCCACTCTGTTGGCAAGTCTGGGGTGCAGGGCGGCAGGATTTATTCCCTAAAAAATGGTTAATGGTTCCTTCAAGCTACTCTGGGGAAACAGGCTAGTATGGATGAAAAAAGAATATTTTAATACTAAATTTCAGCTGAGAATGTTTAGAACCGTTTTATTCTGGTATTATTTCACAGCATTAGATTACATATTAATGATTTACTAGGTAAGGACTATTAACAGCAATACAAATTTGCTTAATCCACAAATTAGAATGTAATAACGCCAGCTCTGAGGTGCATGTTTATGAGTGGATACATCACATTATTCCAAATGGACTTTATCGGCATTTGCATTTACGGGGAATGAAATGGTCAGTATTTAGGTATTACCTGTGGGTATGTGTGGTATCATTACAAAGTTCTTTGGATTTTTTTTTTTGGTTATTTCTAATTTCAGGGGCTCAGTACCAGCACCCACCAATGGTGTACATCATTTCCTAACTTTAGAACAACAGAAAAGTTTGGAAATTTGTGAAGAAGAGTTTTTGAGAACCCTCTTTCGGGCACATCCTGAAAAGAGGTGAGCTGAATTTTGCTGGACGGAATCGGTTCTCCTGCCGGTGAGTGAAGCTCACGGCTCTGGTCCCGAGGCTCCAGGGGGATCCCCAGTCCGGGAAGCAGGGCCCCCCCCCCCCCCGCCCACGGACTTTGAAGGGCAGAGCTGCTGGCCTCCAGGGAGGGCCCAGGGGTATATAACCTCAGTTCCTACAACTGGGAGCTTCTCTCCAGGACTCTGAATCTTGAGGGAGTGACAGAAAGATGCAGGCGCAGTTCGAGGCCGTTTGGGTCCCCAGTTGGTGGAAGGATCCAGAACCCACCGTGCAGCACCCGCAGTGATGTGTGCCAGTCTCTTCCTGTATCGCGACTCAGCCGTTGTTTTGGCGCCTCGTTGTTAAGCCTGGTTCTCTAGTTGTCGATTAAGTCTACAAACACCCCAATAGCTTTTCAGTAGCTCCCTTTTTAGTATTCAAAGTAGACAGAGTGGGTGTCTGTGATTTGCAATCGACATCTCTAATTAGTACAGTGGCTCTATTTCACAATGTTTACTAGCTGATATCCAGCGCACAAAATGCCATTTCAGGGTTCCAGTGCTTCACATGGCAAAGCGAGGTTCGAGAGCTGATGATGTGTGAGTGGAGGACCCCCTGTGGACCACAGCAGGCCCGCCACTGCTGATTTTAGTGCTTGGCATTGGGGGCAGTCCACTACACTCTGCTCCGGCTTCAGCTGGCTCTGCCGCAATCGGCTGTCTCTCTGTAGGGCTTGAACCCGCGCTCCCCAAGCGAAGGTCTGGCTGGGTGATCAGTCGCCATCTGCAGTGGGGTGCCACTCTTGGGCAGAGGTCTCTAGCCAGGGCCCTCGTGGGAAACAGGCTGGTCTACAGGTCGGCTGCCCCTGTGCTGAACGCCCATCCTCCCTCCAGTCCTCTGGAGCCAGAGTGGTGACAGAACCGAGTGGAGAACTCGCTAGAAGGGGTCTGTGGGTTCGGCCGGCTCTGCGGCGCATCCGAGCACAGGGCAGCAGAGCGGGCAAGAAGTGTGACCGGAAGGAAGCGCTCAGACGTTGACCATGGATCTTCCTCTAGATCAGGGGTGCAAACTCATTTTCACCGGGGGCCACATCAGCCTCGAGGTTGCCCTCAAAGGGCCGAATGTAATTTCAACTCCTTAACGGTTAAGCAGTTACATTTATACAGTCCTAAAATTATTTTGGCCCTTTGAAGTCAACCTCGAGAATGATGTGGCCCCTGGTGAAAATGGGTTTACACCCCTGCTCTAGAAGTATCCGTTATTTTTCTTCTTTATCTCTTTTCTGTAACTTCTAAATTGTCTATACTAAACATTATATAAAAGTATATATATAAATGTGTGTATATCCTAAAAATCTATTAAAAATCCACAAGAGCCCTGGCTGGTGTGGCTCAGTGGATTGAGTGCCGGCCTGGGGACTGAAAGGTCACCAGTTCAATCTCAGGGCACATGCCTGGGTTGTGGGCCAGGTCCCCAGTTGGGAGCATGTGAGAGGCAACCAATCGATGTTTCTCTCACACATGGATGTTTCTCTCTCTTATCTTCCCCCTCTCTAAAAATAAATGAAATCTTTAAAAAATCCTTGAGAATTTGATGAACTATTCAAACAATGGGAAAAATTGATCCTTAAGATACAATTAAGTTTCTCATGTTTCTGTATGTTAAAAAATTTAGATAAAGAGTTAAATACAAATTAGTGCCTATAATATAATAAGTGTTAAAGGTCAGATGCAAATGTACACCCCACACAATGCAGGTCTACAGATACTCATGTGTATGTAGAAGGAAAGAGAACACTGAAAAGAAATACACCAAAATTCTATCAGTTATTGTCTTTTAATAATGAGGTCAATCTTAGTTTTCTTTGTTCTTCCCCATATTTTCAACAGTGAGCATTTTATAATTTCCAAGTATGAATATAACCTTAAAATATTATTTTAAGTTTATAAAAGTATGTTATTCATACTTTAAAGTATGAATATAACCTTAAAATGTTATTTTAAAAGTCTGCCACAGCAAAGGTATATAGTCTATGAGGGTGATGTATTATGGGAGAATGACAGTTTTAAAAATAAGTAATATTCTCCTTCATTTCTGAGTTTTATTGTTATATCATTTGGGGTTTCCTTCAGTAATCGGATGATGAAAAACGGCTGTCGCTTTCGAATGGTCTGCTCAAGCCTGCACAGCTCACCAGCGCTGGAGACCTGGCGTGGTGATGAGCTGATCAGCTTCCTGTGACAGTGTCACAACTGCGGCCCTCCGAGGGCTTATTTAGCTGGGAGTTTTTAGCATACAAAGGCAGGTTGGCGGGAGTACGGCGAGAAAGAGAACGTCGTGGTTCAGGCTGCTGTAACACATCACCGTGGACAGGTGGCCCAGCTCACGGTCACTTCCCACGGCTCTGGAGGCGGGGGCATCCGGGAGCAGGCAGTGCAGTCAGGCCCTGGCGTGGGTGCTGTCCCTGGCTGGCAGGGAGGTGGCTGTCTTCTCGCTGTGTCCTCACGGCGCAAAACAACGAGAGGAAGCGAGCTGTCTTGTGTCTCTTCTTTTAAAGACACCAATCCCATTGACGGAGGCTTCGCCTGCTGACCTGGTCACCTCCCAAAGCCCCCGCCTTCTTACACTGTCACATTGGGGGTGAGGACTCCAACATACAAGTTTTGAGAAGGGAACACAAACAACGTTCAGTCTATAACAAGAAAAAAAGAAAAGAAAAAGTGCCTAGTAGGCTGCAATGGGCTGCGTGTCCTCTGTCCCGTGGTGAAAAGGGACCAGTCTGACCCTCTGTACAAGGTAACACGTGTGTCTTTCAACTCCACCGCCCTTTGACCTCGACTTCCAAAGCCTTTTCATTCCAATGTTTCTTTGCTACAAAGGGAAAGTCATTGTCAAAAGGCAGAACTTACTCTGTGATCCCTTTTTTGGTGTGTGTTTTAAGTGAAGAGGTTTTCTTTCTTTTTTCCAAAAATAAGATAACCAAAACACGCGTGTTACAGGTTGAATGGCATCCCTCCAGAATTCTTACGTTGGGGCGCTAAGAATGTGGCCTGACCAGAAACAGGGTCATCACAGGTGTAGTTAGTCAGGATGAGTTCAGACTGGAGTAGGGTGAACCCCTAATTTAATATGATGGGTGTCCATATACAAAAGGGGAAATTTGGATGCAGGTGCATATACGCAGGGAGAGAGCCCGGGGGGGGATGCAGAAGCCAGGAACAGTGAGGAGCGCGAGCAGACCACCAGGCGCAGGGGGAGACCCAGAACGGCGTTCCCCTCACGGCCCCCGAGAGAGCCAGCCCTGCTCACCCCAGCCCCAGACTGGGAGACTCCAGAACCGCGAGGCAATGGGTTTCCACTCTCAGCTCACAGAACTGTGACGGCAGCCCTGGTAAACCAATGCCGTGTCTAATAACCACCGTCCATTGTCTTTTTTCTTTTCTTCTTTAACCCTCACCTGAGGATATGTTTACTGATTTGAGAGAGAGAGAGAAACATCAATTGGTTGCCTCCCTTAACCTACCCCGAGCAGGGTTTGTACCCGCAACCTAGACAAGTGTATGATGAGCATGTGCCCTGCCTGACCAGGAATCAGACCCACAACCTTCTGGCGTGAGGGACGATGCCCCAACCAGCTGAGCCATCTGGCCAGGGCATTCTGGCCACCTTCTGTGTTCTCTTCAACAGACTACATTTATATCGCTAGAGATCTGGCCATGAAATCTATGGGCTCTTATGTTTCTCACTAGAAAGGGGAGAACATTTGTGTTTGTCTAGGTTGGAATACAAGACCTCGTCCATAGAACATAAATGCACCTGTGGCTGGATCTAGGGGAAGGACTCGGTCTGGTTGTACTTCCAGAGAAAAGGCCCCGGGCCTGGGGTCCTGGTGGCACTCTCCCGCTGTGGGGGACAGAGGGAGGAGTTGGTCCGTGCCTGGAAAACCCAGGTGTCAGCGGTATTGCCTCAGCTTATGCCTGTCCGTGGGGTGCTTCCTGGACCAGCTCAGTAACTCCGCGTGGGAGCCAGAAGTTGGGAGACCAGCGCTTGCATGTTCTACCCTCGGGGGCCAGCATTCTCCGAGGAGGCTCCCAAAGCCGTCCTCTAGCAGAAAGAAGACAGACACAAGAACTCAGCCTGAGGGCGATCTCCTCCTCCAAGCAAGCGGTTCGGCTTCTCTGTCCATGGATAACAAGGAGTCAAAACTTCTAATCAGCACCCGTAGGTGCAGGGAGATAGCCCCCTCCTGGGCCATGTCTGGACGGGAACATCGCTGCCACGTAGCCCTCACTATAGCTGCTGGGAGCTCAGGTCCGGTGGGAGGCAGGCGCCCGTGCTCCGCTGCAGGGGAGCTCTGTGCAAGAGCAGGCTCTGGGTTCCGGCCAGGACCTCCCACCCCGGGGCTGTGGCCTCCAACCTAACAGACGGCGCGCTTGGGCCCACGTTGGACACATCACCCTCAGTGTGCATATGCCGCCCACTACATTTCCCCCTGGGGTCAAGGACGGCCCGGAGAGCTAATTGGACTGTGTTTTCAGGGACAGGGCCCTGGACTCCCAAAGCTGCCTTATTGAGACTGGCATACCCTTTGCAGCTCAGCTCCAGCTGGCATCTCACCACAGTGAACACAGACACCCTCACCTAACTGACGGGCGTGGTCTGGAATAGATGCACTTCCCGTCAGCCCTTACCCCTGCCCCTGCCCCTGCCTCATGTGAACCGAAAGCTGTGGTGCGAACAGGTGGCGGTCAGCTGGGACTTGGTCCCTGAAACGTAGTTTTTTTATTGTAGAGCTAGGAATTGTTATGTGGATGGAGAAGAAAGAATAATCACAGCCAACTGCTAGTCTTGCAGGGAACAATTATCTATTAATTTTCAACATTTTCAACCAACCTTTGGCTAAATCACAAAAAGACATAACTCTGCAGTCAAAACTTACTATAATCAAATGTTGACGATGAAAAGAAGATTCTCACGACAGAGTTTAGAAGGTGGAGGTGGCAGTCACTGTGTCCTGTGTTGGTGACAGAACAGGAAATGGAGGTTTTAAACGTGGCCCGGCCCGTGAAGATGGGGCGCCGACAGACGGAGGAACCGAAGGTGGTGGAACCGCGGTTGGCGGGGGAGCGTCGGGGAAGTGGTCTCCGACGAGCCGAATCCTCCCCTGTCGTGGTGGAGGTCTGTATCAACCAAAGACGCGTCTGAGGCTGATAAGTCAAGAAGTGTCAGTGACATATAACTTAGAAGTGAGAAGATTGTCCTCAGGACATCTGCACCAGACTTGCTTAAAAACAGCTGGCTCTCACGAGAGGGAAAGGGGGTGATTACTTTTTTATTAGAAGCCCTTCTGTGTAACATAGTTTGAACTGCATTCATGTGGCAGGTTGATTAAAGTGTCAATGAAATGTTTTGGGAGAAAGGAGAAAAATCACAGAGGAAAAGACGAATATATTTCCATATAAACCTCAGAAGCTTCTCTAGGTTCAGGTGAAATTAACAGGGAAAACAGCAAGCTGTTTGTATTTTGTTTAAAAACACAACAAAGGAGGTGACATTTGGTCTACAAAGAGTTCCCTCAGACTGATCGGGAAAACACAGAGGTCGTCAGAGGATGAATGAAGAAGAGATGAGACAGTTCACAAGTGTCACCGACAAGCTAATTAGTAAATATGAGAAACAATGTTCAGCCTTGCACAGCCACTGCCCGTGCCCTGCAGGCAGAGCCGGCTGGGCAGCCGGAGCTGCCTCCCCCGGGGAGGAGCCGGGAAACAGGTGACTCCCACAGGTGGGCACCTGGGAGGGGGGAGTGCCACTACCCAGACACAGGAACGGATCCCACCCCAATGTCAGCAGGCAACCGGGGGAAACCACGGTCCCCAAACTAGCATGAGACAGCCTCGCGTGAAGTCCAGGTCGGGCCCCAGCATGCTTTCCCTTCCTCTCTCCTCAAAGTGGCAGGAAGCACCGGATATAAAGCGCCCTCGGTTCTAAACTGCCAGGAGTCAGGACCTGTGCTGGCCTTGTTTCACCCTCCGGCACCCCCCGCGGTGCCGCACTCCTGGTAGGCACCTGGTAGGCACCCGGTTATGGTTTTATGCTGGGTGAGAAGTGCCTGCTAATGTGCGCAGCGCCTTCGTGCTGGCTGCGGTGTAGACAGCCTCTGCACAGACCCTCGAAAACCTGAGCCCCCCGATACTTGTCCGCAAACTCCCTACTGGTCTCGGCCAAGGTCACCTGAAGAAGCCGCAGGCATCAGTGATGCGGGCGCTGCGCAGTTCCCATCTCACAGGTGTCACTTATGTCTCAACTTTCAGCAGAAAGGGTTCCCTCGGCGTCAAGCCTGCACTGTTCCAGCCTTACCTGTGGTCGAAAGACCCGGCTTCCGAGTCCTCCAAGAGCAGTGTCTACTCGCACCCAGAATCAGACACAAGTGACAGCAGGAAGGACCAGGCCCTAAAAGGTAGGAGTCGTTTCGCATCTGGTTCTCACAGAAATTGTGTTACTATCACTATATGTATCTCTCACACCTTTTCTGACGGCTACAGATTGGTTTTGATTCAGTGAGTGTGTGAAGTCCCAAGCTCTCCTTGTAGCTAGGGCAAGTTATTAGTCTTCCACTGTTACAGAAGAGGAACCAAGTTCAGAAAAGCCAGGAGTGTGCCCACCGTCACTCAGCGACTTAGAGTGGCCGCTGCTGCCTGGCCCCCCTGCCCACATGCCACGGGGGTCTCCTCGGAGGGGGGACTCACACTCACTGGAGGGGAGACGACCTGGGCTCCACCTTGAACACGGTGGCCTCCATTCAGTGAAAGTGAAGAGAAGCATGGAAGGTTCCAGATTGCTGGCCGATCTCCTGCTCTGGGAGTCTGACGGAATCCTGATGGTCTTAGGTTTGAAGGATCTGGCCCAGCCCCTCTGTGTCATCCCCTTTCTCACCCGTTGCTCCGCAACACGTGAACACGTACCTTTGGGCACAGGCACGTGGTCATTGCATTTCAGTCCCTGGGCGCAGTGGACAAAGTTCCTACGTGACAGAGAGTGAAGACCTTGAATGGTGCAGGGAGACCAAAGGGCTAGAGGTGAAAATGGGCCCAGGAGAAAGGAACCCAGTGTTGGGGTAGGAGGTGGGGCTCTGTGAGCCGGTGATGGAGGAACGAGGGGGGAATTCAGGACCTGGGGGCCGGGAGGGAGCCACCGTCAGTCAGCAGCCTCGGGGGGGCGGAGGTGTTCTGCTGGAGCCCAAGGAGGCCTTGAGGAGGCCCGGCTAGTTCACGTGACCAGGGGAACCAGGAACAGGATAGAGACTTGCTGGACTGCCAGGGGCGAGGGGACACAATGGGGGAAGGAAGAGGTCCCTGAAGCGGCTGTCTCCTGACCCGTGCCAGGGGAGCCCCCTCCCCTGCAGTAGTTGTAGTCATCATGGCCGGCCCAGCCATTTCAAGGACTGCACTCAACAGTAAGGATTAGAGGCCCAAGACCCAGTGCCAGGAAACGATCCCCAATTCTCAAGTAGGCACTTTGCGTCAGCTTGCAGGAGTGGCCGGTGTTAAAGACTGGGACCTGCCATGCCAGCAGCGGAGGGGACCCGGGGGCCCTGGGCCAAACATGTCACCACCGTCCATCACAGTCCTGGCTTCCCGAGGGACGGTGTGCCTGGACCTTTCCCATCTCATTTCTCTCCTCTGCCTGCATCCTCCCTCAAGTGGGATCCGAGGAAACTGCCTTCCGAACACGGTGTGGGCAGGCAGGCAAGCTGGGCTACTGTTACCTGTGGGTGGTACGTGGTGAGAACATCGGATTAGGAATCAGAAGACCTGGGTTCTAGTTCCATTTCTACTGTTGTCTGCCTGTCTAGTGTTGGGAAATGGGCTAATGCCTGAGCCTTGGCAATGATAATATCTGTTTAGATGAATGTAGTAACCTCCCACGTTCTGTTTATTACTGTAATGCATGTGTAGGATAATGTAATATCTAACGTAGTCACAGAGGGCCAGACAAGATGAGTGTGGTGTGAGTGAGAAGCAAAGGGCTAGACATCTAGTAGGTATTATGGTTGTAAATTTTTATACACATAGCAGAAATTTATGATAACTTTCTTCAGTGACGGTTTCTGGAGACTTAATTCACTTCCTCTGAATGGGCCGTGTTTTCCTGTGTCTTTATACATCTTGGTGCTCTTTTGTTGAAAATTGGGCTTTTGAAAAGCAGCCACCTCTCCAAGTCTGCAGGCTGGCTCCAAGCAGGGGAGACCTGGACCTGTGGATTTGCAGGGCGCATCCTGAGCCCAGGATCCACCCCGCAGGAAAGGCTTAGGGTCTTTTCAGCTCTTTTCTGGACACGCTCTTTCCCTGGGCTTTTTTCCAATTCCTCATTATGCACAGGTACTTTTAAAATACGTCTTAATGTCCCTAAGAGACTCCTGCTGCTTCTTGGGGCCTGAGCTGCTCTATTATATTCCTCAGTTAGTTAGTAATCTCCTGCCCCAGGTATCTGAGCGTCTGTGGCCCCCTTGTGGTTTCCGAGAGCCCTGTGTGGGGCCTCCCGTGTGGCTTCCTCTGGACTGAGAGTCCAGCTGCACGTGGGACCCTAGAACTCGGCTAAGTCACGCCCACACCCACCAGGCAGCCCCAGGCAGGTGAGGACACCCCTCTCCCCTCCGGGTCACAGCAGGGAGCTGGGCACCGGGCCTCCCTTCCTCTAAACTGTACTTCACTCCCCAGGGGCTGGGGGGTGGGGGCAGAGAACAGGGGTAGTGAGGCAAAGGCGAGTAAAAACACCTTGATATTTCTTAGTTTTGTAATGTGACTTTTTCTTGATTGGCCATTCACATGGTTGCTGTAGGCCTGCGGCTAGTTTCCAGAGCTCCTGTGAAGTCATTTTAGCTAGTCTCTAGTTGTTTGTCTAATGTTGCCTTGGGGGAATGAGGGCCTGGAGCTTTCTGGTCTACCGCCCCGCTGGCGCCCTTCGGTGGCGGTTTTCTGACCAATCACACCCCACCACTGGCCCCGGGTCAGTGAAACGCTCATGTCTTTCTCACGGGAACTGACAAACCAGGCTTCCGTCAGATGTGTACTTGATTTTTGCACAAATGCAACTTTTATTTTCATCTTCTTATCATTTTGGCTTTAGCCCCACATTCAAGCTTGATTAGTTCTTCATCTTCAATATTTCCTACTCGATAAGTTTCCACAAGGCCAGCACGCATGCCACTCACGCCTTTGCCACGGGCACTGCCAACACCAGCACCCCGGCCTCGGCCGGGAGTTGCAGCCTGTGGCGAGTCTCTGGAGACTCGGTTCCAGGGAAAGTCCGCCTGGTGTGTGATTCTGTTACCGGTGTTGGGGTCCTTGGGCTCCCCAAGATAGAAATCGAGAGGGAAACCCAGAGAAGTTTTCGGGCAGATTTTATAAAGCGGGTGCTGGAGCACACGGGAGGCAGCCCAGAGGAGAGACGGTCTCGGGACCTGACTCGGGCGCTGGCTCTGCTGGGCTGCTCTCCTGAGCTGGGGGCCAGGGGCTCGCACCAGGGAACGGGCTTTTGGAAAATGGCAGGCTTGTGGAATTTTCCACGTCAGGGCAGGAAAAAGAAGTGTTTAGAAGGGAGATAAAATTCTGCTTTTTTTTTTTTCCTCAAGAAGTGGTAGGGTGCTGACCTTCTTGTGTCTGCTTATCCTGCTGGCTGCCTGGCCCTCATTCGGCTCCCTACCCACCGGGTATTTTTCCACTCCCAGGCCCCAAGTCCCTGTCCTGTCTCAACTCCCACTGGCATCCCTCTAGTGTATTTACACGAGAAACTTCAATATGTGCACTGCAGAAAGCAAGACACACTACATCAGGGGTATTTTCCAGCTCAGACGTCAGCAAGCTTTCTGGAAAGGGACAGACAGCAAACACTTTGGGATTTATGAGTCCCATGGGGTGTGACTGCCATCGCAGCGTGAGAGCAGCCCGCACAGCAGACGATGCTGAACAGAGAGATGAACCGGCTGGGCTGGGTTCCCCTGCACTTAATTCACTGAAACAGGCTGCAGACCAGTGGCCCGTGGGCTCTAGTCTCTTGACCCTTGCCTTAGGAAGAGGGCGATGAAGTTAATCTGAAATAATGTTTCTTCACAAATCCTTTTCAACACGTATTGCTCACTCCAGTATTTTCTGAATGCACAAACCATTTCTTTAATAAATTCAAATTGGCTAAGGTTTAAAGTCAGGTATCCTGGTTTATGAATCTTTATTTCCATTTTTAAAATGGCGATATTATTTGTCTCCAGTACTTTTCTCGCTGTCAGTGAATTCTCAAAGACGAGACACTCTAAAATTGCTCCGTAAGTTATTTCAGCTGCCTGGGATATACCCTCCCAGGGCGTGGAAACTGAACGGGTTGAGAAAGAAGGTCCAGCCTTCTACGTGCATCTTTTTCCTTCCAGGCGTTTATTTTCTCAATATGCTTTTCTTAGTCTTTCTAGTTTAAAAAATATCTCCATGGTGGAAAAAAGGCAGCAAACGAGGAAGAGCCTTTTCTTTCCTTTTTTGTACCCTGCTAACATGATACTATCTCGAGGAATATGCCCTTTGGTCTGACTAGAGCTTTACGATGCCCGTGTTTGCCTTCAGCACTTTGGATCGCTTCAGTTGGCCCAACAGATTGCGTCTCCCTGGTCTTGTGATGTAGGTCACCCCATTGTTCTCACTCCCTCTGGAACCCTCTGCCTCACTGTCCCAGTCTCGGTGCACTGCTCTCTCCCCGATGACAGTTCGGCTTCTGTGGCCGCCATGCATCTACCTTCGGGCTGCGTCATCCAAACTGTCCTTGCTTCAAACACTCCTCAGTGGAGCCTGGCTCCCTGGGTCATCTTTGGCGTCTTCCTTATTGGTGAACAGAGCAACCTTAGGGAGGGGCGGTGTGGGTGTGCACGCACACGCTGAGTGTGCTTACGCGTGATTGTGAAAGAATGCAGTGCAGGGTGCGGTCACTGTGGCTGTGAGCAGGTGGAAGGGCAGCACAGGGGTCACCTGCTGCAGCAACCTTCCGTGCAGTGACCCAAGGGCTGTCCAACCGCACATGTGACACCTGGAACCTCATCCTCCATCTTTCCTGTCCGAACGTCCTGTATTCCTTAAAGATCGCTAGGAAATAATTCTCAATACTATTCTGGTGCTTACATCGTACAATGCTGATTTTCTTTGTTCAGTGTAGCAAGGGGCTAACTATATGTACTGTATCTTTTTTTTTTTGCTCATGTTTTATAGCACTACATAAATCGACACTTCCTTGTGAAAAGGGGTCTCTCCTACACAGACGACACACGTTGACAGTCATCAGTCGCCCAGGCTTCAACATCAAACCCACCCTCCCTCCAATCCCTCAGGGCCGCAAGTATACCAGTGCTTGACCTCTGACCTCCATGCGGAACGCTGGCTCCCATCGTGCGCAGCGCCTCTGCCTGCCCTGGCCAGGGGTCCCGGCTGTTTCTCAAGCAGCCGACCACCTACAAAAGAACGTCCTTCATGCCTTAATTCTCTCCATCAGTTTCTTTTGTGATTCTCTGAATAGTGTCCATTTTTTCATGTAAGTTATTCTTAGCTCATAGGAAAGTAATTTCAGTTTTTCCCAGTTGCTATTAATGATTTTTCCAGCTGCTCCCTGCTCTGAAATATCTGATGGCAAAACCTCCCAGGACCCCTGCACTGCACTGTGCATAGTGATTTTTGGATATCTCCAACCAGGCTTGCACTCTTGAAATCTCAGTGTGTCCACTTATAACATTAGTGTATACTCGATGGAATTGGAATCGTTTATGCTGATTACGAAAGGATTGTAGAGTTCCACTTAACTGTGACCACCACGATACCAACTGCACCTCTCCAAGGGAATTAATTAATGTAAATTTTTATGGTCCTTGACTAGCCTTAGCAATATGAAGGAATAAAAAATATCAGGCAGTTTTTTCTATTTCACCCTTTCCTGGCTCTGATTACATACTGCCTACCTCAACAAACATTTTAAACAGCTTTCACTAACTTGCTGTTCACAGAGAGAAAACTCATGCAGTTATAGGTGAGGATGGCATTCAGCTGACATGTGCCCGTAGGGTTGTCCTGGGTGTTGAAACATGGGTGCATGTGCACGTGGCATGGTAAACGGTCTCTCCTCCGAACCCTCTGTGCACGGCGACTCGTGGGGACAGGAGCCTTCACACAGGGCTGAACTGCTATGTACTTGAAATATCAAAACCCTCCAATGGCTTCCCCTTTTAAAATATCAAGACCCTTTAATAACTCCTTTTCCCATGGCGCAGACTTGGATGTAAGCTGATTGGCAATGGCGTCTGTCTCCCAGGGTGCCCTGTTCCCGGCGGGAGCCGGTTAACCTTCTTTCCTTGGAGCTGGTGAGAGGGGACGGGAGGGGGCAGGCAGGAGAGCACGAGGCTGAGCGGAAAGGGTGTGGATGTGATCCCCTCAGGAAGAGTGAGAAGGCCGAGAGTGGGTCGCTGTGCCCCCCAAATCTTAAAGAATAGTTTAACTTTCACCAGCATCACCTAGTCTCTTAAAAAGTCATTGTGAAATATTTAGGACGCACTAGAAGATTTGAAAATAGCAGTTTTGCCCTGGCTGGTGTGGCTTAGTGGACTGAGCGCCGGCTTGCAAACTGAAAGGTCGCCAGTTCGGTTCCCAGTCAGGGCACATGCCTGGGTGTAGGCCAGGTCCCCAGCGGGGGGCGTGCAAGCAGCAACAAAATGATGTTTCTCTCATACGTGAATGTTTCTCTTCCTCCCTTCCCCTCTCTCTAAAAATAAATGCATTAAAATCTTTAAAAAGAAAAGAAAGGAAAGAGCAGTTACAGTTTCAGGTAACGTGGAGGAGATGCATTTGTCCCGGTTGCTCTAAGTACAGCGGAAATCCTAGTCCTTACACAGAAAACGAGCTCAGGGAGGCTGAGAGGAGAAAGGGAGAAGAGACCGGCTGGGGACCTCACGACCCGAGTGCCATGGAGGTGAGTTCCCGGGTTCTCCTCTTTGCCCCGAATATCCTGACCTGGGTGCTGGAGAAGCTCCAACCCCAAACCCTAACAGTGCAGCCAACAAAGACTTCCACGAAAAGCCTGCTCTCTAGCCAGAGCATGAGGAAGGGGGCAGCCTGACATGACAGAAAACTCTTAGACGATAACTGGCTCACTTGAGCCAAGTACCATGACACAGCCGCGGCTGTAACAACACCCTCCTTCCCTCCCTGCTGGGACACTGTCAGAAATTCTCGTGGGGAGCAGAACTGTTCCCACTCACTGTCGATGAGAACTCTTTCCCCCAGTGTCACCACAGGCCATTTAGGAGCCTGGGCTTACACTCCCCAGCTGGGGACAGGTAGGGAGGGCCACAGAGTGCCCCTTCCCCTCCCAGCCCATGTGGTCTCTGTGCAGGCCTAGTGGGGACTAGAAACTTCCACACGTACCCAGCACTAGTAAGGCATCATGTCCACCTTTTCCACTGTAAGTATCAAAATCAGCCAGGATACAGAAGAATTCTCATCACCGTCAACCAACAGGATTGAATTTGCATTTATAGAGCATTCCATCCAATGACCACCAACAAGCATTCTTTTCAAGTTCTCATGGAACATCAGCCAACATAGACCATATCCTGGGCCTTAAAAAGACCATTGAAATCATACAGTTTGCTCTCTGACCACAGTGGGATCAAACTAGCAGTTAATAACAGAAAGATAACAGGAATACTTTCAAACATCTCTGAACCAAACAGCATTCAGTGAGGAAGTCTGAAGATAGTTTAAAAGATATAGCAAATTGGAGAAAATGAAATACACCGGATAAGAACCTGGGGATGCAGCTAAAACAGCTAGAAAGGAAATGTGTAGCACTGAGTGCGTGCCCCAGGAGAGAGGAGTTCTAAATCAGTTAGCTCCTACCTCCAGCACCCAGAAAAAGTAAAATAAACCCAAAACAGAAGGAAATAATAGAGAGCAGAAATCAATAAAAATGAAAACAGAAACATCGGTAAAACAATAAGCCAGTCCTTTGAAAAGATCAATGAAATTGACAACTTCTTGCTGGTAAAAATTAACTAAGAAAAGAAAAGATACAATTACCAATATTAGAAATGAAACCCATCCACTCTGGGAACCAGCACTGGGGCAGCAACTAGAAGGGCACCAGACACAGGAAGTGGGGGAAGTGACTGGCACTGGGGCTGAACACACTGAACAAGCAGCATTGTTCCCTCTCCAACCTACCCCCCCCCACACATATAACCCCACAAAGTGGGAAGTGGGCTGCCCCACCCTGGTGAATACCCAAGGCTCTGCCCCTTACAACGGAACAGGTGTGCCAAGCTTGGGAATCAAAGCAGCTTACCTAATATACAGAAACACAGGAAAGCTGCCAAAATGAAGAGAGGGGGAGATAAGGACCAAAAGAAGGAACAGATCAAAACTCCAGAAAAAGAACTAAGTGGCACGGAGATAGCCAGCCTGTCAGATGCAGAGCTCAAGGCACTGGTGATCAGGATGCTCAGAGAAATGATTGAGTGCAGACACAAAATAAAGGAAGAAGTGAAGGCTATACAAACTGAGATAAACACACACACACACATACACACATATAACAATGAAGGGAAGGAAGCTGAGATTCAAATCAATGATTTGGAACAAAAGGAAGCAATAAACAATCAACCAGAACAGAAAGAAGAAACAAGAATTCAAAAAAAAAAAAACAAGGAGAGGCTTGGGAACCACTGGGACAACTTTAAATGTACCAACCTCTGACTCACAGGGGAACCAGAAGGAGGAGAAGAAGAGCAAGAAGTTGAAAACTTACTTGAGATAATAATGAAAGAAAACTTCCCCAGTTTGGTGAAGGAAATAGACATACAAGTCCAGGAAGTTCAGAGAATCCCAAACAAGCTGGACCCAAAGAGGGCCACACCAAGACACATCACAATTACATTACCCAAAATTAAAGATAAGGAGAGAATCTTGAAAACAGCAAGAGAAAAGAAGAAAGTTATCTACAAAAGAGTTTCCATAAGACTATCAGCTGATGTCTCAAATCTTGCAGGCAAGAAGCGACTGGCAAGAAATATTCAAAAGTTATGAAAGGCAAGGACCTACATCCAAGATTGCTCTATCCAGCAAAGCTATCATTTAGAATGGAAGGGCAGAAAAAGTGCTTCCCAGATAAGGTCCAGTTAAAGGAGTTCACCACCACCAAGCCCTTGTATGGAATGTTGAAGGGACTTATCTAAGAAAAAAAAGAAGGTCAAAACTATGAACAGTGAAATGACAACTAACAACTCTCAACAACAGAATCTAAAAAGAAAACAAAAACAACAATTAAAACGAACTGGAAAAACAACTAGAACAGAAGCAGAGTCATAGAGATAGAGACCACATGGAGGGCTGTCAGTGGGCAGGGGAGAGTGGGGGAGAAGGTCTGGGGAATAAGAAGCATAGTTGGTGGGTACAGAGTAGACGGGGGGTGTTGGGAACAGTATGGGAAGTGGAAAAGCCAAAGAACTGATATGTATGACTCATGGACATGAACTAAGGGGGGACTGCTGGTGGGAATGGGGGTACCAGACAGAGGAGGGGCAAAGGAAAAAAGTAGGACAACTGTAGTAGCATCCAATAAAATATTCTTAATTAAAGAATTGAGCAATACATAAAAGAATCCTATAACATGACCAGGTATGGAGTTTAACCCCGGGATGCAAGGTTCGTTCAGATGTTTAAACCAATCAGTGTTACCCACCACAGAGAAATCTATGATCACATCAGGTGATGCAGAAAAAGCATTTGACAAAGTCCAACATCCACTCATGATGAAAATTTAGGAAAAGAGGATGCCTTTCTCAACCTGATGAAGACTTCGGTGCATACGTCTCTATTCCTAAACTGTACATAGTTTTGTGTTCACAGTGATTTTAAACTTTCTATTGTAAAGAGGTTTCTTGACTTATAATGGAATTACATCCTGAGAAGCCCATTTTAAGTTGAAAATATCTTAAGTGGAAAATGCTTTTAATACCCCTAACCTGCTGTACATCATAGTGTGGCCTAGCCAGTTTCTACTGAATGGGCCACACTATGGCACCAGCATGAAGCTGAAAAATTGTAAGTTGAACCATCATAAGTCGGGGACTTTTTCTGGTGTGTATATTTACCAATTAAATTTTTTTCTCAACATTTTATTTATGGGATTAATCCATGCAGATTGTGTTGTTTTAGTTTTAATGAGTGGGGTTTTTTTGCTGTATAACATTCTGTTGTGAGAATATACCACAATTTATTCACTCTCCTGTTGATGAATGCTAAATTTGTTTCCACCTTTTTGTTGTTGTTGTTGTTACTAGAGAGGATGCAGCTAACCGTACTAAATCAC